ATCAAGTGTCAAATACCAAGCAGACTATTGTCATCACTGTTACGCCAACACGTAAATATTGAAGTATAACAAATGGGTTAACAAAGCTCGCGTACATTTTGACTAAGTACCTACGGAACTGATGATACCTATTTAATATAACTAAGATGTATTAAACCGCGCTCTGTAGGTAAGTGGAACATGGGTCAGCATGACAGAACATTCCATCTTTAATGAGAAGCTAGAACTCCGCCTTCACGGACCTGTATGCGACAGGTGCTTCTATTCATACATTTAATTATTATTATTGGGCTGGTATTCAAGGAACAACATATATATAAAATACTGATGCCAAAGGTAGGTAAGAAAAAAATCAATTTTTGTTTATCTAATTATCGTGCCAGTGATGCACCGTAGGAAGAGACCATTATGTTCATACACATTTTATTTAGTATAGATATAGATTTAGTAAAATTGATCGGATAATTAAAAAAATGTAAAAATATTGCAAGCGAGCTGTAATAAGCGTAATCAGTATACTAATAAAACCATTTAATTGCAGCATTTATTCTGCCCATATGTAAACTTCCTCCTGTATTACGCCAAAAACAAATAAATTCAACAGCTTTCCACCATAGTACAAAGCGGCAAAACTATCCTAACCGCCTATAAAAAAAATACCTGAAACCAATCAATGTAACAAATTGACTTGTCGCGATATTTTTCGACCGATAAGATCATAAAAAAGGGTACTGCCACTTCAAAGTCCGGCAATGCACTTGTGACTTTTGAATTGTAGTAATCAAGATGACCCCTAAGGTCGTTTGCCCTCAAACAGACTGGTACTTAATCACACGGGCAATTCAATTTTGCACATTAATAATCAAGGTAATTCGATTCATTTTCCTGTGCACTTTTAGATCTGTCAGGTTTAAATAAGAAGACATGTAGATAAAAACAACAGCATTATAAAAATACAAAGAGGAAGCAGCGCGGTCTTTTTTATCATGTGTTGTAACTTATTTAACACTCTTAATGTGATCATAATGAACTCACGATTCGTATAATGTCAATTTGTTTATACATCAGATTTGCAAACAGCAATTATTTATCACATCTGTTGAAGGGACGGAATGCCGGTCTCAAACAAAGGACGTCGTTCATGCTAATTTTTATTTCTTTTTTTGTACACTTCACACACGATCTTCTGATTCTATACTAGGCAGACCCTGTACTACTGTACTGTACTGTACTGGTGACTGCTGATAAACATGCACAGACACAGAACAAATAATCGTGCTCATCACACAATTATTTGTCCTGAGTGAGAATCGAACCACGACCTCTGGCTTAGCAGTCAGGGTCACTAACCACTAGACCAACAGGCCAGTCTAATTAATAATTTAAGCAGTTTGTTCACTCCTCTATAGTCACTTGAGCGGTGTAGAAATAGACTGCACGGATGGCGTAGTGGTTTAATCGGTCGCCACGCCGCTGAATACTACATTGAGTGATCCTCAAATTGTCGTTCTGAGTCTGGGGGTTCTTTGTGTGCGTTGCATGTATGTTTGTAAAATTCCCCGAGACACAGGATATATTCCTAGAGCGGGAGTCAACCACGATGCCAACAGCACTGCAAAGAGAAGGAAAACTTGAAACAAACCCTATACCAAATCGTCGGGCCAGCGTATAGTCTTGTAGGCCAAAAGCTAAAGGCTCATGATAATCCTATAAGTTAATAATCCACAATTTTTTTCATTAATGTAACATTTGTGGCTTTTGAATACTATTAATATAATTGAATATTAGCAACGAAGATTACAAAAAGTAAAGCCTAATCGAGGCAAATAAACTTGGCATGAGAACTGTTTTTAGAATGAAGAATGTTAAAAGTGCCGTATCGCATATGTTACAGCAGTGATGGTGCGAATGTTTGCAGACCCCGCTTAAACCTTACCACCAGATCATTGCTATGCTTATTTATAACCTTAATAGAGCAAAAACTAGACGAACAGAGAAAACGCACATCACATTTCGGCTTAAATCGGAGACACATAACAGGAAAAGTGATACTAAAGATTACATTTAGACAGTACTAATGTATATATCAAATAAAACTCACGCAGATCCTCATAATACATACAAAACTGGAATATCTTAACCGCCCGTACCAGCTTAAAAGTTCCTCCCTATACAGAAACAACGTATCGACAGAAAACACATTTTTCAGTTTACACGAATGGAATAGCAAAAAATACAGTAATTAGCAAAACTTTTTGCTTCTGCGCTTCTTCTGAAAAAGCTGCCTTGGACGCTGTATGGCGATATGTTCTAATTGACGACCTAGATACACCCCTAAAGATAACGATATGCTATCCATGGCCAATTGCTAGGCGATATATATCCCAAAGTTACGTTAAAAACAGATAAATGTATGCGCTTTTTAAGATTTTATCTATGTATTGTATTAAGCTGGTATTTTTGGGTTAAAGTCTCAATGAATAGACTTACTTTTTACTATTTTAGTTGTAAAGAAGAGTATCCACAAAACTGGCCAACCGCGTTGCCACAAAGTCGCTAATTGAGCCCCGATTTACTTATAATTCGTTTTTGTCGGATTATATTGATTTAAAATAGAAAAATAATTGTATAGTATAAGCGAATATATAGCTCTATGTATTTGCTTGTCGGGGCCCCCGTGAAGATGAGGGCCCTGGGCCCGGGTCCCGTGTGCCGTTATGGTAAAAAAGGTACTGCCAGTAAATTATATAATATATTCTATTAGCTGTTTATAATACAGTTCCAGATTTAGAAAATACATTTTTGACCTACATATTGTATACAGAAATACAACGCACTGACATGCATGTTAGTTAAGTGGTTAGGCATCCTGACTCCGAAATGAAAAGTCTTGGGTTCGATTCCAGCCAGAACAAATTAATGTGTTATGAGAACGGTCTATTGTTATGTATATATGTATGTGTGTATACTCGTATAGTAACATATGTACAAGTATGTTTATCAGCAGTTTCGTTACCATAATTAAGACTCGATTTCGGATTAGATAATCAACTTTTGGAAATGTCTAGTTGTTATTATTGTATGATATTAATCAGTCGTTAATCACAGTTTCGCTGCCTTTGGTCATTGTTTTGATTTTAAAGGCCATAAGAAGATATCAAATAGTTTATAAACCACCTAAAAAATTAAACTAACGTAATATTTCATAAATTAGACTGATGATAAACGCATAATACATCGATGTCTAAGTTCAAACTAACCGGAGCTTACACTATGAGATCCAGATCACAAATAAACATACTTTCAAAATATTTATTATAAACACTGTCATATAAACAAATATTAAAGAGCGTGCTCCTTCCTAAAAGGCCGGCAACGCGTTTGTGACTCCTGAGTTGCAGGCAGACCCGTCTGATCATCTGCCCCCTCTTCCATAAAAAATTATGGCATAATTATGGCAATTAGGCATCTCAAAAATATTACTACTGGGGGTAAAAAGGACCTGATTGGTACAAATATACAGATAGTTTAAAGATCAACGCATAACACTACAAAAAAATAAACTATTGAACTTTAGTACATAAGCATAGATTAATAAAGAATGTATTTTCTTGAAGCCGTCAAAGTTTTACATAATGTGTTAAAGAAAACTATACTTGGTCTTTACTTTTATAGCGCGCAGCCTACGTCTGCTACCCTCAGACATCGCAGTTCGCGTGGGAAAATCTTTTCAAATTTCAGTCGTTCCCAAATTACCACAAAGTTCAGTGTAGAACAGCTATGTAACAGTCCTGATAGACGGTATTCTACCCAAAAGTACGTACCCTTTCTGCTTGTGTGGCACAAATGATTAAAACCGAAATACAAAATAAGTTTTGTCAAAAGTTGACCACGATCATTAATAGTCTGTAGTACTATTAGTAATCTCTCAATAAACAAAGAAGAGCATGTACTGAACTGCTACCTCTTTCCCTTTTTATGCATTGTATACCAATGCAATAGAACCAATTATGGCCTTATGTAAACTTACTTTTTGGTAAGACAATTGGCGATTTTATCACGCTCTCTTCCAGACAACTTCCGAGTATGTTCTGATAATCGAAAAATGTGACGTATTATTGATGGCTGTTTGCGGTGTAGTAAGTAGTATTACGCAGTAAGGGAGTTCGTTATTGGTAGGTAATATTTAATAGATTTAAGAATATAATAAAAACTCTTCAATATATAACATCATTATTATTTTTAAGATATTTAAAATATCTTGAATTGGTTCAGTAGAAAACAGTCATATTTTTTTTATAAAATACTTTATTACCTATTTATGTATAATGTAGGCGATAGAAGTGTATTTTATGGTGACCACCAACCTCTCCAATCTGTTGCTTTAAGTTCCTATTAATTAGCCATAAGTTGTCAAAGAACTTAGGGTCCAATTCTGTTAATGACGTATTGGCATCCTAACCTCGCTTCAGCCGTGGTATTCATACCCAAATACATTATAAGGAATGTAGTAATGTATGTAAGTATGTACCAGCGGAACTATTCGTTGATGCTCTGCAGAGTAAAAGTGTTTGCTAAATGTGTTAAATTGTTATCTATTATATGCATTTCTGACAAAGACACGTCTTGAAAAATTGCACATATTATTGTATATATACATTTATAATTACTACATACAAGTACAAATAAAATTTCTTCTCAATTCTAATGAGCATGTAACTAAATAATATATTCTATTATCCCATTTCAGCGAAACGGTTCTTTGAATATCTTTCCCCTCGACCCTATCTCGAAAACCAGACGTCTTTTCCGACTTACGCAACAGAATTTACGCTTAAGCGAACCGAGGTCCAAGCACTAACGTTACTCACTCACACCCATGCAATTTGTATGAGCCACTCGTCCAGCCATATTGGACCTCCCTCACCCCTACAAATTGAACTTATTTAGGCGACGGAGGGGCCGAGTGTGTTAGTGGTCAGGGCTCTTGATGTGACAAACTATGGTATAGTGCGGTATCGGAAGTTGACCATTGTAAATGGAACTTCTCTGCTCCCTTCAGTTAGACCGATTCTGTGCCTTGCCAAGTATATGTTAGAGTCGTGAGGGTTCTGCGTTAGATAGCCGGTTGGTAGTACATTATAGTAGGTATGTAGAGGCGAGTGGCGAGCGGGCGCGCGCGGCGTGTGGGTGAGACGTTTACGGTCGTATCGCTGGTCGACGACGTTACTGTGTCCATCACTTCGATAGCGATATATAGGACACCGTACAGTATTATCGAAATTCACCTGGAGTTTAACAAAATGATAGGCTAATTGTAGCAAATGTTCAAGTTGAATTTGGCATTGTTTTACCTTTATCAATGTTTATTCTAAATTTGTTGAGATGAATTAATTATTTAGGATAGCCATCTAGATCTGAACTTAAACTAATGATATCCTGTAATATGGACAGTAGAACACGTGTATGTATACCAATGATATTACTTTAAATTACTTCCTTAGTTAGACCTTCCCAAAAAAAAATATGAAAATCTTGTTGATTTAGAAACTTAACCGCCTATCAATATTATATCTTAGAAAGGCTAGGCATATTGTTAGATAGTCTCTACGTACCCAAAAGTCATAGACACCGTCAACGCGGGCGCAATGCCGCGCTGCGAACGAGACGCGCCGTGGTCGGCCCCTCGCGTCGCGCCAATTAATTACGGTGGCCATCTTAGCCCCCGGGGCCGGCTTGCCACCCCCCTTACCCCCTCAAACCACCCACACGCCGCCCGCTGACGGACAATAATTGCCGCCGAATCTACAAGCCTTGCCCGCACCTACTGCGAGTTCGTGAGCTCCGTGTGCCTTTGTCTGCTGTATAACCCAAGACGGGGAAAGCTGTGAATGTGAGGATATTATCCGAAGCAATAACGCCTCCAGAACAATTCGACTCATTTTGTCCAAAACAGTTCAGTAATCTCCACCGTAAATCATATAACAAACACATATAAGAAATAAATTGTTTACGGAAGGTGTTGTGACATTTCAGGTAATACGGCAGCGTCTGGAGGCCACGATGACCGCTTGCCACTAGGTCACACGCGTATTGGCCATTTTTAATAATAGACTCGACTAAGTCTCAAACATCGCATAGATCGACAACCTACACACAAACTTAAAGTCCACCATCTTCGAGTCCTTAGTTTGAAACAGAGTGTAAAACTTTTCCAAACTTAAGTAAAACGTTGAAGAATGATTAAGAAAACATCTCACATATATATACATACTTATATACATACTTATATACACACTTAGAATTAAAATAACCATATCGTTTAAGTTGAAAATTCGTACTTTTAAGAAAAACATGACAATAATTATCATTTATCTACTACTACGCCTACCAAATCCTAAATATTACTTTTTAGAATTCCGAAGTCTCAAAATGAAACCCTTATGGTTTCGTTTTTGTTGACTTGGTGGAAAATCTCTTCGGATGTCCGAGTCTTTAGAGGCGCGGGAATTTGTGTTGTTTTGATTAAAACCACCCCGACGGTCAGTCTCTGGTGCCCTACTCTGGGAATGATCCGGACTATATGATTATAGGTCCCCTCACTGATCTTTCATCTTAGACACTTTTCTAAATACACAAACCATACTTGAGCACGCATATCATGTACCAAAATATGTTCCAAGAAGGAATAAATAAATTATTGCCAACATAAAAAGGATAACAAAAAAGCCTCGCAATTCGGTCTTTATAGAGGACAACAATCAGCACGATTATCTAGATAATCGTGCTTGAGCCACGGACGTGCCTCCTCTAATTCGTTGATTAATCGCTTAATTTTGTGTGGCAAACAGTTACTCGTCAAGAGGTCGCCGATCACCAGGCAGTTCTGAACCTCTTCCTCTTTGTGACCTGCCGCTATCTAGCAAAAGCTAAGCCTCTAATAAGTTACGGAACAATTAACTTACAAACGCTCCAATCAAATGTTGTTGACTATTATTAGTCAGTCTTCCTTAACTTCTCCCCGATTCTCAAGAAAATAATACATACTTTTACTAACTTCAAAAAAAGGAGGAGGTTTTATAATTCGGTTTTACTTTTCTGTTATGTTTCTTACTTCAGAAATCGGTAAATTTTGTACTGATTGTTGTTTAATTGTCCTATATTCCTATTCAAATCTGCAGCAAAAGGACCTTCCCCAAGGTCACTCCAGGATGTTAATTAAGGAATGAAATACAATTAAGATAGTTTTTTACAATTTATTACTATGTAGGCTTATTGAAGTCGGGTTAACTTTTCAAAAGTTAATTATTTTTGACGACCGGATGGCGTGGTGGTTTGTGTAACGGACTGCTATTCCAAAGGTCGCGGGTTCGATTCCCGCTCAAGTCAAACGTTTGTGTGCATGAACATTTAATGTTTGATTTGGTCTGGGTGTTTCTATGTATAATATGTATGTATTTACAAAAAAAAAGTATATATGTATTTATATCAGTTGTCTAGTAGCCATAGTACAAGCTCTGCTTAGTTTGGGACTAGATGGCGTTGTGTGAATGTGGTAGATTATTATTTTTATTATTATTATTATTTGCATTATTTATGTTTGAAAAAAATTGACTAACACATCTCTCTGGTATACTATATCCCGTCCACAGTTAAAAGGGCTCACTTAACACGAAAGTAACGTGCACAACTTTAGAATAAAATGGCCGTTTATGGCGTGAAATAGGCTTAGTAATTCCGCCGGGCTCAATTGTTTATTGGAACATAAAAACTTTGAGACAAAAACGCCTTTCTATACATTGACGAATATAAAAGACGGCTTACATGGCGCTGAGTTTTACAAAAAATAAATTTATAAACTACTTCCAATGTTTTGTGTGTTGCATACCATGGTATCGCCGTCTAAATAATATTTTTGCTAAATTAATCCAGAAAAAGTATAAGACCACTCTTTGGGCCATATTAAAACCCCGCAAAAGTGTTTTTTAACTGCTGGTTGAACAAGGTTAATTAGGCTAATTATTTATGTTCATAACCATAAATTATACACTCATGATTTAGAAATTCCTAATATAATAACATATGTAATCAGAAAACAATGTTTTCTTGCAGAATTATGTAGTCTTTGGACTTATAAATGTTTTACAGCCATTTATAACCCGTTTGGTTGATTAAATAATACTTCTCATTAAAATTTGTGTGAAATTACTCCAAATATGGATCAGTACCCCGTATTCATCTGAGCCGTGTTATTTTGAGTTGGGGATACTATAGTGATAAAATAGTCATAGGTGCAAGATGAAGTTTTATGAAAACTGCTTGCTTCTTCTCTTTGCTATGTCTTCTAAGCTACAAGTATCCAAAAAAATACTGAACACTTCTCAATAGTTTATAATTATTTTCTCACACCTGTTCTGTTCTGTTTTAAATATTATAATAGTAATGATGAATGTGGTGAATTTATTAAAGTACTCAGTTGTACACAACAATAATATGAATAGGTGGTAGCATGTGAACCCTGCCGGGCGCTTTCACGCTGCGCGGTGTGGCACAGAGGCGCGCGCATACCGCGCCAGATGCGGCACGCACGCTCTTCCGCAATGCGCCTCTTGCGCCCGCGCCATGTGTGGCCATTGCTTTACGTGCTCAGTGACAGTTGACGCTTCCTATTTCAAAATTGTTTCATTATTTGAGAATGTTCCAAAAACATCAAATGTAGGGGCCAAGAATATGTTTTTTAACCGAATTTCAACATAATATATTGTATGATGAAGACATGTAATCTAGTCGGTTGGTTCAATTAATTTGATTGGTATGGACACAAAACCAAATTGGGATAGTAAATTTTTTACTTGTCACTTTTCATACTTTAAATGAAAGGGCAGGCGTAAAACTATCCTGTTTTCTAACTAGTTGCTAACTATCCGCGTAGGTGTAAAATTATTTTGTTTTAATTAGTTCTTAATTCATTCATTCATTCGAATTTAGAATTTTACCGTTTTAAATTGGATTTCGAGTTTTGCCGTTAACTTTAAAAATGTCTCTTAAAAATGTCTTATTTTATATAATAATGAAAACTTAAACGCCACCACTAAAAAAGAAAATCGGGGTATTTTGTAGTTTATATCTGAAAAGTATAAATGCATATACAAAAGTTTAGCTCGTTGAAAACTTTTCCTATATCATTTCTGTGAGAATTAGTATAACAATTAGACCTAAAATTTGGATAAATAAAGGTGTTAATTGTGTATTTTAAATAAATAATAATAATACCTCGACACATGTCACACACGGCTGTCTGACCCAAAACTAGACAAAGCGGTTGATATGGTAACCAGACTATTGATAAACAGACTTATATATAAGTGAACTATTAAGTGAATTATATATTATATGGTATTTATTTATAAGTTTAGAAATGACAGATAAATAACATACGAGTACAGATACAGACCAATGATCATGCTCATCACACAATTATTATTTGTCCCGAGTGGGAATCGAATATATACCTATACCAACCCGTCTGGCCAGCGTGGTATAGTAGACCAAAACCTCCTTTCTATGGAGAGGCCTATGTCCAGCAGTGGACTAGTAAAGGCTGTGGATGAGGGAATCGAACTGCTAATGCCAAAGTCGTCATTTTAACCACCTGTGAAAAACTATTCCCCCCAAATGACTTTAACATTAAGTAGGTTGACACGAAGACAATGTCCTGGGTTTATTCGCAAGTCCGCGGATATACAAAAGCGAATAGTCATGTAAAAACCTGTAAAATATAACATAACAGTACATTTCACCGAATTTAGTTACCAACGAAGAGGGAAAAGTGAGAAGTCAGCCCATCCAATTATTCCAGTTATAATCTCGTCTGCGCACGGCAGCGGGCACGTACTCATAAACCTTTCAGTTTATAGCACGACGACGTCCTCCTTCCCTCAGTGTGCCTCCATTAGTCCTCACGAAGGATCGCTAATTCCCTCAACGCCCCGGGTGTTGTGAGTTGGATGCCAGGATAGATGCTATCGGATACGTTTTATTGGTTAAAATACATATAAAGGAAATGCTACGCATTTTTAGGCACAACTTTGTAGGTTTCTAGTAGTTTAAAAGAGAGAATACTTATATTATATATAACATTGGAGACTTTGCATAAAAATAAAACGTTACGATGCGAATCTGACTCGCGCATCAAGAGTTTCCCACGAATTTGTATTTAGATAGTTCGTCTATCTCAAAATTATTTTTCGCTTTAATAATTACAAACTTAACTATTCCGTTACAAAAATACTCTTTAAGGTACTTTAAAAAAAATAGTTTGTAAGCCTGTACTTACAAATAATATATTTATTTCTTTGTGATCACAGATTTTTAGATCACATCAACAGCCTTTAATAGTCCACTGCTGGCTCCACGGCTGGCACTGCCTCATAGATAGATTTTCAGATATTTTCCTTTAATTGTGCTTGTACTGTAAAATCTTGTTTCTTGCCTTTCATGATTCTATTGATTCTATGCCATTGGGTAATAGTACCTTGTATCTTTCTGAAGAACGGTACCCTAAAAAAGCCCTTTAAAAAAGTACGGAAACTAATTTTATTCGGCTAATATTTCATTTTCTTGTCTGTTCTTCTTCATAGACTTTTATGTTAGAACAGGCAACTAGCTTCAAAACTGACTTATTTTGTCTAGATATTAACCAGATAATTAAATTAAGAGAATGATTTTTATTTTAATATTTTGCTCTGTATTGTTAAATTGATGCTTCCAAAATATCTATACACATATCTATAAAGGATTTAATGTCTAAAAGCATACTCTTACACCTTGCAGTATATTCTTCGAATTACCTTACACACCAATTGTCTTTACAAGCAAATCACTGTATGTAACTTGGCCATTGAAATGGCTGACACTTTTCCGACTGACTAAAGTAGATTCTGCTTTCGCGAGTGTCAACTTGTCACCCACATGATTAATTGATTTGATTTCATTTTATCATACGCTTATTTGCTCTTATAGGTTCTTAAGTCCAAATACAGACTGCCTCTAAGACTGACTAAATTGTTGATTTTTATAATATTATACTGAAAACAATTGGCACAAAGTAACCCACAAAGTAACAGGCTTTAACTTTTAGTTGCCTGGTCAGACTATTCAAGTACCAACTTCAAGAAAACCACCATATAACTACGATGTCATTCGTTTTGCAGTTTGTATATACGTATATACTTACATACAGTTGTAATATAAATTGACTGCACGAATGGCGTAGTGGTTTAAGTGGTCGCCACGCCGCTTACTACTACGCTGAGTGTTGTGGGTCCGATCCCCACATGGGACAACACTCTGTGTGATACACAAATTGTTGTTCTGAGTCTGGGTGTTCTTTGTGTCCGTTTCATGTATGTTTGTAAAGTCCCCCGCGACACAGTATATATTCCTAATGCGGGAGTCGTCATTAAAAAAAATAAGTTGCAGTTGTGTTATCCAGCTGTATCATGCTCGGAGTATGTAAAAACAGAGGTCATACTTTGTTTATACGTGTCTCCATTTCTGACTGTACCGTCCCCATACGTAGAGAAAAGGAACGTGGTATAGTAGACCAAAAGCGACGGATAGTTTAGGCATACCGTTAGCTCGTTCGCTTCATACGATTGACTCCAGTGCAATAAATTGTGTACAGTGATAAACATCTGTGTTTTCTTGAGTTTCCAGGGATATACTGTAAGGCTTTCACATTTGGTTGCATCTTATAGACGTATAATCGTTCTAAGGACCGTATTTCGAATATGCTGTGGAACAAATTGTCGCCTGCGATATGTCCAGACCGATACAACCTCAAAATCTTCAAGAAAAGAGTTACTGCCACCTCAAAGGCCGGCAACGCGCTTGTGACCCTTAAGTTGCAGGCGTCCATAGGCGGAGGTAGTAACTTTCCATCTGGTAACCTCAGGGGCTTATTTGCCCCCATATTTAAAAAAAACAGAAAAAGAAGTGTTTTATGAATAAATTAACGAGAGAGTTTTAAAATTGGCATTGCATATCACGTATTTGTTTTTTGCGCGAATTCGAAATACCTGATATTTAATGTATGCATTTATGCAAATGCTTTCGTTTGGAATCAATAAACGTAAGTTCATTTTGTAAATAAATTGTCTCCCTGTCTGCCTGTCCGTTAGAGAACTAGTTCATGGGGTTTTACAAATAATAATATAAAAATAATACATTTTTTATTTTCTCGCCACAATACATTTTTACATAATTATAGCTTGCACAAGAATTATCACCAAAATGTATACTGTGGGAGACTGGTGCCTAAGCTAGGCTCAGAGCCTGTGTTTCAGGACACCAGGGTCCCCTCCTTAATTGTATACATTTCTGTTACGATTGTATCAGCGCTTTTGACAATTAGTTGTGGTCGAACTATTAGAGAGTATACGATGTACCTCTATAAATATGTATATGTTTTCATTTTATTTGTTCACTAGCTGACCCGCGCAACTTCGTCTGCGTCTCTCAATAGTAATAAATTTTCTCCGTTTTTGAAACATTCTTCATTGGTGCTCCGCTCCTATTGGTCTTAGCGTGATGATATATAGCCTATAGCCTTCCTCGATAAATGGGCTATCTAACACTGAAAGAATTTTTCAAATCGGACCAGTAGTTCCTGAGATTAGCGCGTTCAAACAAACAAACAAACAAACAAACAAACAAACTCTTCAGCTTTATAATATTAGTATAGATATGCGCGTTCGTGCATGTAGTGTTTGTGAATATGTCTGTGTGTGTGCTTATAATAGAGGATGTAAAAATATATTTATTTATAAAGTAGTTTTTGCATGTTGTTGTTGGTTTGTGTCTCATAAGTTGCAAGCGTCATGAACGGTGGTAGTTACTTATCATCAGGTTACCCGTCAGCGTGTATTCCTAGTACCATAAAAAAAGAGTACAAGGTCCATGATGAATATAAACCTAAGTAAAAACATTTAGACCAAACTATTGAAATCTTACAGAAAGAAGCTCAGTGACTTCTAAACAACGTGTAAATAAATGACTTTTAGGTAAGGTACAACAACAACAACTATTTTTTTTCTGGCATGCATCTATTGCAGTTAGCATGAGTTAGTTAAGTTACACCATCTAGACATTCAAAATAAATAGAACAAATCTGAACGGCTTGTCAACAATATCTCGAAATGCGACGGGAATTTAAATGACTCTCAGGTTAGGTACAACAACAACAACAATATTTTTTCTGACATGCATCTATTCCAGTTAGCATGAGTTAGTAAAGTTACACCAGCTAGACATTCAAAGTGAATAGACGAAATCTCAACGGCTTGTCAACAATATCGCGAAATGCGACGGGAATTTAAATTGCAAATTTTGGAATAACCTTAACAATTTTTAAGGAGTTCTTTAGTAGGGTGAAGGTACTTGTCTCTTTTGGCGGCTTCTGTAGTAGGAGTAAGTTAGATTGTCAGCAAGAAATTTGAATACCACGAGTGACCTTTCAGATAGTAGGTTATATTCTTTGGATACAAAGAAGATTGCCTTTTTTTCGAGGCATCTTTTCAGTTTAAGCAATCAACAGCATTTTCTGCTTTTTTCGTATTCATTTGACGATCGTT